ATAGATAGATAGATAGATAGATAGATAGATAGATAGATAGATAGATAGATCGATAGTTAGACATATAGCCGTCTATTATTCTCACTATCTCATTAATTCCCCGCTGCCCCGCAGGTGGATATCGGCGGTGTGCTGTTTACTGATGTGAGCACTCCTACACCGGTGTTACTGAGGCGTCAGACGCTGCATGGCCAGCACGGCATCAGGAGCGGTCACATCAGCATCCTCAACCATCAGACCATCCACATAGACGACCTGTTCTTCTATGGCACCGCCCCGAGTGAGTGCCGCTGTTGTAATAATAACCACACCATATATACCGCTATAACCGTAGAAATAATATACTAATAAGTCTCACAATTAGATTTCTAATCACAGATATCACATAGTGCACATTATGTTAGAGGCGTAGCTAACTCATCTTACCTGCGTGGCATGTGGGGAAAAGCCGCGCGCAGTTTTTGTTCTAGGCAAAGGACCGTGAGCAGATCGCCATTAACCATGTAATATAGGTCTGCATTGGTTTTGGGTGGAAGCATTTTTCACTCTTTCCTCGTGATATATAGTAAATTATATAATTGCAGTATATTATAGTATGAATATTGATCTCACCGATTGGCTAGCTATTCCTTACCCCCCCCTCCAATTCCAGAGGCCACAGCCCTATGTGGCAAAAAAAATTCCGTTTATAGAGAATAATATACATTATATAGTAAATTACGACCTTGCTCTTTGCTAGACAATTGGACATCACCATCCCCGTGCAACATTTTACAGGCTTTGCACAGTAACGCTGCAGGACGGGACTGATGCTAAGTTAATGTGTGTGTTTCAGGGACGCAGTTCTTGATAGGTCGTGGTTCACCCATCAGCAGCCACAATGCGACAAAGATCAGTGACCATCGAAGCAAGCTGTAAGTTGTTCTTCCCTTCTTTTCTACGTGAGCTGTCATGTGTCATGTACTCACATGTTAACATAATATACCTAGACCAATAAACAGTGCCTTAGAAATATTTACTATATGAGGCCATTATAATTTATACGTCTATGCTAAGCGGTATAACCAAACAAGGTGCCATTCTAGAAATAAAATGGCGTCGGATTATATAAAACTATTTTCGGGTCCGATTTGTTGGTCACTTGCTACGAAACGCTTGTCACTAAACATCGCAATATTTAAATGCAAGGCGTCGTCGTTAGCTCTTACAAGTTAACAACCCACAGCGCCACCAACCACTTAGACGCGTGTTTGGCCGTTTTCACGCAAGAAAGCGTGTAGCGAATAAAACTAATTTTCCTGTAACAGGACATGCTCTGATCAGTAGACGTTATTGGGTTGAATTACGTTAAAGGTTAATGCACTATGCAGTTTTCTGAAGGCGCGAACTAGGACTGCCATTATAAAGCAAGCGTAACGCTTTGTTGCATTATACAAGGTGGTTTGACCTTGCACCATGCTGTATATTGTTAAAGCTGTCTATGAATCATTGAACCTTGATGAACAGCTTGCATAAGTAGTTGCGTCATGTTCGTGTGTTTTAGGGACTACACATCGCTGCCAGAGTTCTACGGTAAAAACATGACGCTGCTGCTGCCGCCTACTACATCTGTGTTTGATGCTGAATGGCTAAGCATGTACGACATACGGTTTAACATGGATTTCGCAAGCGTCACCCTACCGGTTGCTAAATAAAACAAGTCCGTTGACAGGTGACACTAGTAACACAATGATGTACTATAGAGTGCCCTCTATACAAAGGGACTCTTACATTATGTGTTGAATACGTAAATTTGACCATGGCCTACAAGAAAAAACATGTCAACCACGTGTTGGCTAGGTTGTTGCATATATATATATTTATTCACTCCACCGAGTTAATGATCATAATGTAATTACTCCATCTCATATGTATTCTTGCAACATAGTTGTCATTTCATCAGATACTGACGATATTATTATTACTGTTAATTTTATTTTATTTTATTGACCACTCGTTATCTACAATATAATAATTATGACTATCTACGTTCTGATTATTGTATGTTAATTGTTAACGGCACGTTAATAAAGTTTAGTTAATTGCATAAGAAAATATGTTTAGTTAATACAACCGACACCGTTATACACAATAAAGAAAATATATATGATAAAATTCAGGAATGTTTATTGAGCAGCATATATAATTTTACAAGGATATTTATAAGGTGTAACGATTGTCAAAGAAGCATGCTTTGATGCCCCATCTAGATATTTGTGAAAAGTTTAAAGACAGCTGGAATGTTTATTTGATAAACAAAGTACAGAATAATACAGAATTTGACGAGCAAAAGAAAATGCAATACACGTACATTCTGCATATTTGTCTCGTGTGAAAAGTCCCTAGCAAAAACCACGAATTAAGATGAACATACATACCCTCACGCAATATCTTTCTGCTTAAAATATGATAAAGTTGGCAATTATCTGGTTTTGAGTAATTTTCTGCATGTGAGATTCACAAGAAAATAACTTTACTAAAATGAATAATCGTGTGCAAGCCAACTAGCAAGCGCAACGCTTAAATATGAGTAAAAAGTAAAAAGCTAATCAAAATTTCTAATAAAATTGGCACCTGAGACTTCATGGCAAATGGATGAAGCATACAAAAAATATTAATTCTCCTTGTTAGATTGATGTCGATATAAGAGATCTCTCACCTCACATCACACACAGGTAAAAGGACTTAGATGTCACACACACAAATATTAACAATAGACTAGAATGACACTAGATGTGCGTAGGCAGACGATGCATCTTGACATCTGCATTAGATGATTTTTAAATCAAGAAGTAAAATTCGTATATTTATTTAGACGTGTTTCACCCTCTGATATAGAGATGAAAATCTCAAGACTAACACAACACTTGCTTTTTTGAGCAGACAATGACTTTTTGACTTTTAAAAGGCCATATGGAATGTTGGAAAATGAACTTGATTTACACCTTCCCCTCTACCTACAGACGTCTACCCTACAAATTTTACAGAACAATAATAGAAACAGAATGTGCACACCGACCCTTACTAGTGCAGTGAATGGCACTGGTAAACAGTATTGTACTCTTACCACCAGGTGTCATAGGTGACAATGGTTACCGGCCTCACCACTAGGTGTCGCTGGCGACAGTCATGGGTGGTCTCACAGGTGACAGGCGGCAGGTGAAGAGGTCGTGACCTGTGCCGACCTGTCCGTCGCCACTCAGCTGCTGTGTCAAGTCAAAGTCACGCGACGCCCCCAGGTGGCGCAGCGAATCGCCTATGTAGGGGGCGCCGGTGGTCGCCATCATGGATTCTGCACGGATCTGCGAGCGAGCAATCACCTTGTTGATCTCTTCTATCCTGCTGCGCCCTGGTGACCTGCAACCATGATAGGTGAGATAGCTGTTTCCGTGGCAACTCTCAGCTTCTTAAACTAGGTGGCAGGACCCTTTCTCAAGATGCGCCCTGCCATGTCTAGATCTTCGGTGGTCGTCTGTGATCGTCTTTGCTTCAATTAGCAGTGTAGTTCACCTGTCTTATGCATTGAATCCTAACTCATATCTTACACAATGCTTATCCACTATTAGCTCTCATTTGATCAGCATTTCTACTCATCTGCCCCTACCAGGAGGCAGCCGCCAGTAACACGCTAGTTGTAATATCAGTCACAGTTCTGACGTTTTCTCATAATGTAACATTAGTCACAAGCATGGTCATAGGGGTACCCACAGTTGTAACTTTACGATGTTTCTAGCCACAAGCCCAAGCTTCATGTCCCATGAATGGCTCATCTGTGAGTGTATCACCTGCCCTATAGCGGAGAGTTGATTTTTACCTGTTGTCGGTATCGGTAGGTAGTGGCACGGAGCGCTTGCGTAGGGAGCTCATCTGATCTCTCAGCCGGTCGTTGTCATCTCTGACAGCCCTCAACTCTATGTTATCCATCTCCCTACTAGAGCGCTCTATCTGTAACGACCCTGTCAAGTAACATTCACAATTATCTTGAAGACGACCAGTAAGCAGCATCCACGATTACCTTAAAAACCAGTCAGCAACATTAATGATTACTATGACAACCAGTGAGCAATATAGATTACAGTCCAAACACGACTAGATATAAAGTAATAAAATTATTGAAAGAGCGAGATCATTTTCAACCAACCTCGCCCATATAAAAAATGTTAACAAAAATAAAATTGGTACTTATTAAATTTATTGTTACCATTGATAAATGGTTCTATAAACAGTAACACTATGCTCCCTCAATGTGTACATGCTGGCTGTAAAGCAACAATGCATCATTATACGTAATATCTAAAGCTGGGTTTACACTACCAACTTTGTATTGGCGAATTGAACCAACTTCCCAACTATACAACCGACAATCGGCAGCATAAACGCAAAAGTTGCGCAACCAACCGATCGATAGCAACTAGTTGGGAGATTAGAACATGTTCTATTTTCGCCAACTCGGAGTTGGCCAACTGGAAATTTGGTCCAACTCGCCAATACAAAGTCGGTAGTGGAAACCCAGCTTTAGCCTGACTACAATGCTACTCCCACAACACATGACCACAGGACATTGGTACCAGCTTTAGTTAAAACCACTACTAGCCTGTGGAATGTGAGGGGCGCTTACCTTCAAGGTCTGATAGGCGTTTGTGTAGCAGTGTTGGATCGGTCGAGCCAGCAGTAAGGCTGCTGATATGTGAATCCATCTGCTTCTGCAGCTCTCTCCTCAACCCCTGAAGCAGGCTAACTACCTCCGTCCTGCAGCAGAGGAAAACGATTAAGTGATTGAAAAATTGATTAATAAAAATTAGTGATTGAAAAATAAAGGAAAAGATTAAGTGATTGAAAAATTGATTGAAAAATTGATTGAAAAATTGCTTAATAAAAATAAGTGATTGAAAAATAAGGGAAAAGATTAAGTGATTGAAAAAATGATTAAAAAAGTGATTAAAAGATTAATTGAGCAGGGTTTAAGTGTTGTGCAGCACAGCACACATGTTGCATCATCATCACAGGTACATACAGCGTGCATGCGTGTTTATAATGTAGAAAGGGAGAGAGGAAGGAGGGGAGAGAGTTAGAGAGGGAGCGAGCGAGCGAGCAAGACAATGAGAGGGCAGCAGGAAGAGAAGGGGAAGAGACAGAGAGAGGAGTCAAGCAAGATGAAGCAGAGAAGGTAAATTACTGCTGCATTTTTACCTAGTTGGAGAAACGGTGGAGGAAATGCTATCATTCTGTCTCTGTTGTTTAGCATCCACTGTCACTTTATCTACCACTGCTTCCAACTCCTGAATCCTGAGAGGCAAGTATTCCAGTTAGTTAAGCACGTCATTCCACTCAGCAATGAAACACGGTTGACTACATCATAATACATGTTAATACAGAACAGTAGTCAATTACCAGCTTAGGGACATGATGTGGTATGGTATACTATGATATGGCATTGGTGTGGTGCGAGATGGCAAGCATGCTATGGCGTGGTGTCGTGTGGCATAGCATGGTTGTATGGCACGGCTTGATGTGGTGTGTAGTGGTGTGTAGTGGTGTGTAGTGGTGTGTAGTGGTGTGTAGTGGTGTGAGGTGGTGTGTACAGGTGTGTAGTGGTGTGTAGTAGTGTGGTGTGGTATGTACTAATGTGTAGTGGTGTGTAGTAGTGTGGTGTGGTATGTACTAATGTGTAGTGGTGTGTAGTAGTGTGAGGTGGTGTGTTTTGACATGTATTGATGTGTAGTAGTGTGTTGTGCTGTGTACTGGTGTGTACTGGTGTGTACTGGTGTGTAGTAGCGTGTTGTGTTGTGTACTGGTGTATACTGGTGTTGTAGGTAGTGTGTTGTGCCGTGTGACTGGTGTGTACTGTGTGTGGTAGTAGTGTGTTGGTGTGTGGTAGAGGTGTGTTGTGCTGTGTACTGGTGTGTACTGGTGTGTAGTGGTGTGTACTGGTGGTGTAGTGGTGTGTAGGGTTGTTGTGCTGTGTACTGGTTGTCTGGGTGTGTACTGATGTGTAGTAGTGTGTTGTGCTGTGTACTGGTGTGTACTGTGTGTACTGGTGTGTGTAGTGTGTAGTGTGTGTGCTGGCGTGTACTGGTGTGTAGTGGGTGTGTAGAGTGTGTTGTGCTGTGTACTGGTGTGTACTGGTGTGTAGTGGTGTGTAGTAGTGTGTTGTGCTGTGTAGTAGTGTGTTGTGCTGTGTACTGGTGTGTACTGGTGTGTAGTGGTGTGTACTGGTGTGTACTGGTGTGTACTGGTGTGTACTGGTGTGTAGTAGTGTGTTGTGCTGTGTATGGTGTGTTACTGGCTGGCCTGTGTACTGGTTGTACTGGTGTGTAGTAGTGTGTTTGGTGCTGTGTACTGTGTGTAACTCGCTGTGTACTGGTGTGTGTAGGTGTAGTGTTGTGTACTGGTGTGTACTGGTGTTGTAGTTGCGTGTGTCTGCGTGGTACTGCGTTGTGTACTGCGTGGTGTACTGGTGTGTAGTAGTGTGTTGTGCTGTGTACTGCGTGTGTAGCTGCGTGTGTACTGGCTGTGTACTTTGGTGTGTAGTGCTTGTGTTGTGCTGCTGTACTGTGTGCACTGGTGTGTACTGGTGTGTAGTAGTGTGGGTTGTGCTGTTGTACTTGGTCGTTGTTACTGTGTGTGTCGGTGTGTACTGGTGTGTACTGGTGTGTACTGGTGTGTAGTAGTGTGTTGTGCTGTGTACTGGTGTGTACTGGTGTGTAGTGGTGTGTAGTAGTGTGTTGTGCTGTGTACTGGTGTGTACTGGTGTGTACTGGTGTGTAGTATGTGTGTAGTTAGTGTTGTTCGTGCTGTGTAGTAGTGTGTTGTGCTGTGTACTGCGTGTGTAGTGTGTCAATATTCAACCTGTGCGCTGAATAAAAAGTTAGTTATGAGTGACACAGCATGACAAAGCCCTTCTCTTTAGAGCTTCACCTGCTTGTTGAGAGGATGCTGCAGCGCTGACTTCTAGGGCGCAGCCGCTCTCCTTCGTACAGCGCAGCTTGTGTCGTGTCTCTCTGCCTGCACCTCGGCATCCAGTAACTTTCCTGCTGCTGCCAGGATTCCCTGCCTCCTCATCGCCAGCTGCTCTCTCTGCTGCCTCCAGTTCGACGGCAAGCTTGTGTGTGCCTTTTTGCGCATACTTCTCCTTTCCTGCACCACGCTATCCCTGCAGTAATCCCAAGCATCTTATCTTAGCGGTGTGAATGTACATTAATCTCTACCTTCAACTTTTTCATTATGCTCTTATCGCTATACTTGTGGCTATGATATCGTATGACGGGTTATCTATATATTGGTTATAATATCTTATCATACGCTGATATGCTCTATCTTATGGTTGATATTATCTTATCACATGTTGTTAAACTGTTATCTTTAGGTTATACATATTAATTCCTTATGCTGGCCTATCGATCTTATCTTCTGGTTACATTATGTTATCACAACCACTATGCTACTTATGTAAGATGCTACTACGTGAGCACCTACCTGTGATCCTGCCACTCTTGTGCTGTATCTGTCAAATGACTGGTTTAGCTCCAACTTCTGTCCTTAAACTTCTGCTTTAGTGCCATCAGCTTGGCGACTGTAACACAATGAATGATCGCCATGACTAACTGCCTAAATAATGGGACATACGGGAGTATTCTGCTTTCATTTTTAGTTCACATATGCACAAAATCCTACAGCTTACAAGTGCATGAACACTAATTACACATTGCTTTCGATTCATACAATCACAGGTGATAAGTGACAATTACACCAAAGCAACTGAAGTATGCAGAACACAACACCACATGATGATGGAATGGTACATCACACTAACATGTTGGCAGAATGTTACAACGGCGAAACAACCGTAGGCCGCCAAACTTTACAGTTGGTTTGGTTGGATAGAAATATGGCCCTCTAACTGTAACATACGGAAGGCACTGCCGCCGCACGCTATAAAACAGATGGGGACATTGAAGTGGCAGCTGTGAAATCATAGAGGGGCACTTGCAGTGGCAGCTGTGAAACATAGAGGGGTTGCTGAAGTGGCAGCTGTGAACACATAGAGGGCACTGCAGCTGTGAAACATAGAGGGTGCTGAAGTGGCAGCTGTGAAACATAGAGGGCACTGCAGTGGCAGCTGTGAAACATAGAGGGCACTGCAGTGGCAGCTGTGAAACATGGAGGGCACTGCAGTGGCAGCTGTGAACCATAAAGGGCGCTGCAGTGGCAGCTGTAAAACATAGAGGGCGCTGCAGTTGCAGCTATCGACACAAGAGGGCACTGCCGGTGCAACTGAGAAGCATAGGAGGGTGCTACAGTTGCAGCTGTAAAACATGGGAGGGCGCCCTCTCTGCAACAGAAGAGTGCGCTACAGTTGCAGCTGTGAAACCTAGAGGGCGCTGTCTACCTGCAGCTGCTCGATGTGTTGCTGTAGATCACGGATGTAGTTCTCCTGTTCTGTACAAGACGTGCGAAGTGTTGCCCTCTCCTCATGTAGCAGCGCCACCTGGTTTTTCTCCACTTGCAGCGCCGCCTCAAGGTCTGAGGTGTGTTTCTGTAGCTCACAGAGCTTATCATGGCTCTCAACCTGTACACAGCATATGTCACAGTAATAGTCACAAAGCATGGTATGTGTCTCAGTCAATGTCACAGAGCTCATAATGGTCCTCAGCCTGTACACAGCACATGTCACAGTAATGGTAACACGCCATGGTACGCGTCACAGTAATGTCACAGAGCTCAACATAGTACCTAGCGTGTGCACTCATCACAGTAAATATCACATAGCTCGATGAATGCCAGAGATAATGACTCTTACACACCATAATGAATACTAGTTATAAAAATTAGTCTAAAACACTGCAGTCAGAATCCAATTCATAATCGACAAGTCTAACATCTAAACAGCAGTCTAGTTGTGCACTGCGTCACATATAACCGACCTCAGCTTCATACCATGCAGCGCCTACAAAACAGTAGTAAGAAACTTCATTACTTGGGGCCCCTTAATAAATTTCAATATAAAGCAAAACATATAAACTAAATCATATAACTAAAAACATATAAGTGATGGTGAGCTTGTTAAAGGGACAGTAGCCTCTAGGATTTTACTGCATACAACTGTACTTACTGTATAACTGGTAGCTATCCAATATCGTACCTAAGTGTACGCACACTGTATTCTGACTCCAGACGCAAGACTACTTAATTAATTATTATACACATCACGCTACAAAATTTGAACGGCGCCATGACACCCGCGACCGTGCTGGCCACCCTGAAAAAGTTGGCGTATTTGCCATTTTTATTTTGCAGGTAAATGACGGGCGAGGCTAATCACGAAAGTGCAATATTGATATTTATATCCTAAATGCTTATTTAACCGAACGGACATATTCGTTTGTAGGGCACACATATCCATATTATAACTTGAAACATATGTCGTTCTATAAGATATTAGCAATCCTTTTGCTTTTAAATGAATAAATAGAATACTCCTCGGTCTGTAAGCCCTTGGCTCGGAAAAATGGTTATGCGCAACTTCTCATATTCGTGCGCTGCTGAGTGTGCGGGCCACCGGTCGTTCGTTTAGTACAAACTGTTAATCGTTAGTTTTTAAAAACCATTTTTTTAGAAAATATTTCTACATAGTGATTGAACCGATGAAACTTTTATGGGAGCCGCAATTTTATAACCTAAATTACTTGAAACATAACCCCTACAGCAATCGCTTAGGAGGCTACTGTTCCTTTTAAAGGGAATCGAAGAGTATACATTCAACCACAGACACAAGGTAACCATGGACGCCTGGTAACCATGGACGCCTGGTAACCCATGGACGGCTTGGTAACCACAGACAAACCGGTAACGCAAGGTGTAACGTAACTTGCGTGAAACACACGGACACAAGGTGTAACGCATGCGACACCTGGTAACATGGACACCTGTAACCATGGACACAAGGGTATGACCACTAGAACCTAGTACACGACACAGGCATACACCACAGCCCGTGATAACCACAGACACAAGGTACACATGGAATGCCCTCCGTCAGCGCATTATGAGGACGCTATCCCGAGAACCAAATTGTCACCCCGAACCCGAAACTATCCACACCCTCGTGCGGGAAGCTGAAATTCTATGGAAACGCACACCGGCTTAGAGCACAAGCTTAATCCAACCGGGCATATTACACACCCCGACACATTTATACCCTCTCGAGAACCACTAGCTCCCCCCGGGAGACTTTAACCACACCAGACAAATTACCCCCACACGGATACCATCTCTAAACCCCCCCCGACAATTTCTCCCCGACAATTTACACACACCACGGACATTTTAACCACCCCCGAACATTCACCCCCGGACAATTAACCCGAACATTTACCCCACGACAACTCATACCAACACCTGACCGACAATTTAACACAACCTGAAGACTAGCTCTTAAAATGACATCAAAATTATGACCTATTAAAAATAATCAAAAACTTCAAACAAAAAGTCCAAAATAAAACGATGCACAATCACATACTAACACACCATTGAATGATACACCTGTAAATAAGAACTTATGCACTATAACACTCATAATGAAGGCCATCAACAATGAGATCTAGGCACCACTCGACCAAACACCACGACCATCGACATAAGTGCTTGCGCGAGTAATACACTACAGACGTATACTGCTCGGAGCACCTCAGGCTCACGCGCGCTCACGTTCTACAGCAAGAGCATCGGGTAGGAGCGCGTCCCGCCACGGGAGCAAGCAGCGCGGTAGTAATCGAGGTTAGGTAACAAGGACCCACTCCGCAACGGATAGAGCGCAATGCACGCAGCCGGCAGTCGACGAGCGCACGGCGGGAGCGCGTTTGAAGATAGTCAGCCGCGCCACCCCACGTGAGCGCCGTAGCGACACTTCTACAAGCTCTGTGAAATAGACTAACTCCAAGAGCTAATCCAACCTAGAGTGTAACAACTCGGTTAAAAAACGGGAAAATAGTGCTATTCACGACAACATTTATATTCTACTTTGCCTGTCCGAGTCTATATATATATTACATGGTATTGCATTCGCAAATTCTTTGCTCTCTAAAACAAGACTCAAGCGCTATGTCAATACTATACTCCTAGGCGGAGATATCGGCTCCTCAACCTCCCCTCCCACATGCCAAACCGCCGCCTTCGAATCCTACTCTAATCCCCATCCTTCACGCGTGCTAGCGTTGTCTTCGTGAGAGTTCGTTTATTTCGCCATATTTATGAATGATTTTTCGGTTCTAAGGTTGAAGGGTGGAGTGACTTTTCGGGAGCACGCCTATGCCTTATTTCCCTCATTATCTTTCCTACACGGCTAATGCCCGTATTAGATGGATGCCGGCAATTGTTTTTTTTAATTAAGTCCTACAACGAGACTAGTAAGAGGTACCAAAATTTGGGATATGTCATCAATTATCAGCGCTCCCACAGCAGCTCGCGATACGGAAGCGATACTCGTAATTGACACCTTAGCTCAGGCGTAAAGAGACGAGTGCGGCATGACTATACGTAGCATTTCTGCGTGGTGTTGCAGGCGCGCGTATCTCGAGTGTTGCGAGGGGGAGTCGTCTCTAGGCCGATACTCTAACGAGCCTAGAATCGTATTGAAGCGCTTGGTGGGTCAGTTGAGAGAGTGCTAAATAGATTCTCGTCCCAAGCTCGCCAATATACTATCTAGAACATTGTTATAGAGACTCGGAGGCAGAAGCCTATAATATTCTGCAGCACACATTGCAACACTATCACTTTCGCCATGCTCTGACAGTACGTATACAGCCTTCTCAACGTGGTATTCGGCTCTGTTGTAACTAAACTCGTTACTAGCGCTGTGCAGGCATGGGTTGAGGTGCGTTTCTCTGCGAGCGCAGGTAGAGCCTGGCTCAGAAGGCCGTATGTCGACGCCGGTGTGGGTCTGCATCAACTCGTCGCTATAGAACTAGCGTCCATAGTCTGTGGTAGACTTATAAGCGCATTCCTGCGCGATAGAGCAAGAGACACATCGAGTCGGAGTGTCTGGTGGACTCTCTGATATGAGGCGAGCAAGGACAGACATAACCAAAAAAGTGTAGGGACCGTTCTAGCGAGAACATGGACCGGTCAAGGCGTCCCTCCCGAAGATGATCGCCTTGAAGTTAGCGCCAGATTGGTAACAAATGTAATGGATGCAGACCGCACCTCTGACCGAGGTACTGACGTCATAAGCTGAACGTACACTGCATGTACAGCCGAACGTCCTGCATGCACGGCGAGTATAGGTTAAGCCACGGTGGACAAAAAAATCAAGAAAGTACACAAATGAACTACATAATTTATGGTCAGCGCATAAATCATAATTTATGGTACAGATAGAATCGACCAATGGCGAGGCGAGGATTTATAATGCACGGATAGTAACATGCAGCCAAATTAAATGAAAGAATTATGAGTTCCACACATTCATATATAGACTTCCGTCGCGACGTATTTGCACGCGTCTGACGCATTGTCTGGTTTGCTTGATACAATGATATGGCATCTATGTAAGCATTGCAAATGATGCTATGGCCTGCGCCCGCTGAAGTATTTCACGTCTGGCTAGACTGGTTCGCGTGCCTGAGAAACTGTCGTCGCAGAGCGAGTGTACATTGTGTAGCAGAGCTGTGAAGGCCGGATACCAGTGCAAATACATTAATAGCAATTGTAAAACGCGAGGACGGAGTGTAAAACAGGGGACGAAAGTTATTTTATCGTGGACATAATTCCTTTGAGTTTTTGTGGACGGGAAGTGTCAAAAACGGAGGACCGTGAAAATCTTTATGGTTGACATAATTCCTTTGACTTGCATTGGATTCGTGATTATATTGCGGGCATATAATTACCTTCGCTATCCACATTGGTCGTTTATCGGTGACCATAAAATGACTGTAAGTCAAATGTGCATTCTTGATTTTTGTCACCGTGTGGACCAACCGCATATCTGAGCACGCGCATCTGCGGCCGGCATGTGCGGCATGTGGGTTATGTTATTACTCTGCTGAGCCGAGCGCCAAACTCCTCTCAGTGGTTCAACCACGAGATATAAATAAATCATAGTTCTCGTCTAAAGATACAACATTTTGAAGCAAATGTATCTCTTTCGCTGAGACGTGGCCAACTCTTCTCAGCGTTGCCAGCACCACGACATGAAATAATATAGTAATTCGTCATAAAATGCAAACATTTCTTTGAGCAAAATGATATGTAATTCTGCTGAGACGTGCCGCACCGCCAACTCTTTCACGTATGACACCACAATGTGTACAATAAACTATCTAATGCCATTGTAATAAATGATGTATTGCCAATTATTCATCGCTGAGTACATGCTCCACAAACATCCTTTTCAGCGTGCACCAATGCAGTATAAACCTATACGAGCTGCCTGTAAAATAAAATGATGCTACCATATTAATCTCATGCCTGATGAATCAGTAGGCCATACCTTCTCAGCGTGCACCACATACAGTCGTAACTCCTAAAGCTTATGTATATAATGTAGCCACATTATTCTCGGCTGAGACA